GATGGTGCAACCTCCATAGCCATCTCTCTTCCCGGTAAAAATGATGAATATTATTACCCTTCGGAATGGCCCAGTGGTTTGGGCTTAGGATGATGCGTACTGATAAATTGGGAAAGGTATTGAACTAAGCCTAAAGAGCAATTGCTCTTGAACAGCTGGTTCTGTAGAACACAGGAATTGAGAAGAGAAAGAGAGAGAACTGTTATTGATCTTTTACAATTGGATACCTTTACAATTGGGGGTTGATCTCTTATTTATACATGTGAATTAAAAGCAAGCTCCCATAGTTAGTTATAACTAACTGGGCTACAGTGTTAATCGACTAACAACTAGCACGTGCGACTCACATGACCACTAACCGAACTAACGACTTATTTATTTATTGACACATATCAATACTCCCTCCTTGAGATCATCCTTGTCCTCAAGGATGAAAAGAAGGAAATTGTTGAATGAATGACTGATAATCCTCCCAGGTACTGTCTTCCTCAGCCGTGTTAAACCACTTGATCAACAATTGAGTAAGTGGTTTGCCATGTCGTTTGATCAATCGCCTGTCAAGAATAGCTTCTGGTGCCAGCAACACATGTCCATCATCTGAGCGAACCAAAGGTAGAACAATAGAAGCAGTGTGATCGCCCAACTTTCTCTTGAGCTGAGAGATGTGGAAAGTAGGATGGACCTTAGCATTAGGGGGCAAAACGAGAGTATAAGCAACAGAACCCACTCTTGCTATGATTTGAAAAGGTCCAAAAAACTTTGCCGCCAACTTCTGGAAGGTGTGAGCTTTCAATGATACTTGTCTGTATGGCTCTAACTTCACATATACCCAATCTCCTACTGCATACTCCCTTTCAGTCCTTCCTTTATCTGCTTGTGTTTTCATCCTGTTCTGAGCTCTTGCCAAATGAGACTTGAGACTCCTTAGAGTAGCCTCCCTAGCTTGTAGACTTCTATCCACGAGATCCAACTTAGATTAAAATGCCATGTAAGGGAGAAGGGGTGGTGGTTTCTGTCCATAAACCACCTCATAAGGAGTTAAGTTGATAGAGGTGTGGAAGGTGGTGTTGTACCACCATTCAGCCAGTGAGAGCCATTGAGGCCACTCTTTAGGCTTATCAAAAGTCATACATCTCAGATACCCTTCTAAACACCTGTTAACCACTTCTGTTTGGCCATCAGTTTGTGGGTGGTAGGCCGTCGAAGTGAGAAGAGACACCTTTTGCAGTCTAAACAACTCCTTTCAAAATTTGCTAGTGAACATAACATCTCTGTCAGATACAATTGTCTTGGGCATGCCATGAAGTTTGAACACCCCGTCCATAAACAACTGAGCTACCTCTAAAGCTGTGTACGGATGCTTTAAGGCCATGAAGTGGGCAGCTTTACTCAGTCTATCAACCACCACAAAAATAGCTTCCTTGCCTGCAGCCTTAGGAAGACCCTCAATGAAGTCCATGGAGATATCTTGCCACATCTTATCAGGAATAGGCAAAGGTTGTAGCAGGCCAGGGTATGCAACATTCTCACCCTTACATTGTTGACAAACCTCACAGTGCCTAACAAATGAATAAACATCAGGTTTCATGCCCCTCCAGTAGAAATCCTGCTTTAATCGTTGTAGAGTCGCCCTCATGCCTGAATGACTACCTCTAGAACTGGTGTGATAGAAATCCATCAGGTCTTTCTTTAGAGTAGGGACAGAGCCAACTATTATCTTGCCCTTCTTACTTAACAGCCCAGTATGAAACTTAAAATAGGGCTTATGACCTCCTGCTCCCTGAATCTGATGGATCAACTTCTGTAAGGAAGGGTCTTGTGACCAAGAAGCCTTGACTGCTTCTAATAGTTGAGACTCCACTCCAGAGATACTGTTAAGCTGAACGAGATCATCCTTCCTTGAAAGGGCATCGGCTACCACACTATCTTTCCCTTTCTTATAATCAATAAAATAGTCATAGCCAAGCAGCTTAATCAACCACTTCTGCTGACTTGGTGTAGTAATTCTCTGTTCTAACAGGTACTTTAGGCTATGGTGATCAGTCTTAATCACAAATTGTCTGCCCAATAGGTATGGTCTCCATTTCTGTACTGCAGATACCAATGCAAGTAACTCTCTCTCATAGACTGATAAGGCTTGATTCTTTGCACATAACCCTTGACTGAAAAAAGCAATTGGTCTATTGTCTTGAAGCAACACAGCTCCAATCCCTCCTCCAGATGCATCGTTTTCTACCACAAAACTCTTGGAAAAATTTGGGAGGGCCAACACATGTGCTGAGGTAATGGCAACTTTCAGTTCTTCAAAAGTTGTAGAAGCTGTTGGACTCCAGTGAAAAGTGCCCTTCTTAAGGAGATCATACAGAGGTCTAGCAGTGATCCCAAAACCTTGTATAAATCTTCTATAGTAACCAACAAGGCCAAGGAACCCCCTCAAGGCCTTAAGAGTAATTGGTTGAGGCCAATTCAACACTGCTTCCACCTTATGGGTGTCCATAGCTACGCCTGATTCAGAAATCATGTGGCCTAGGTAGTCAATCTGCTGAGCACCAAAGGCACATTTGCTTTTCTTCACAAACAACACATGGGATCTCAGTATCCTGAAAGTTTCCCTTAAGTGAGACATGTGAGCATTCCAGCTTTGGCTATAGACTAGAATATCATCAAAAAATACAAGTATGAATTTTCTGAGATATGGTTGAAAAATCTGGTTCATGAGGCTCTGAAATGTGGAAGGGGCATTGGTTAAGCCAAAAGGCATGACCATAAATTCATAATTGCCCTGATGTGTTCGAAATACAGTTTTTGGAATATCAGATTCAAACATCCTGATCTAATGGTAGCCAGATCTTAAATCCAATTTAGAAAAATACTTAGCATAGTTAAACAATTTGTTCAATTAGAAATAAGTGAAAAGAGCTCTCAGACACAATAACCGAGGAATGGTCTAAATCAGCAGGACCCCCTCCCCTACGTCTTCCGGTGATCCTTCTGATCACCGGATTTCATTTTCTCTTTTCTTTTTTTCTTTTCTTTCTCACTGTCCTTGCAGGCGAGTTCCAAATGGAAGATAGTATATACTTTGCAGTTGGATTCAAGTCCTACGACATCACAAGAACACCTGGTACGGCGGGAGCATGGTACGACTGGACGGAAAGAAATAGAAAATCTATTACGAGAACGACTTTTAATGAGAAGTCAATGGAATGGATCGTGCAGATTTTACGGGAGGCATCAATGACAAGGGGGAATATGGTGAAGAGATGGAAGAAAAAAGATGGGTTCTCAGAAGTTTTTTGTTCGAGGAACTACAATAAATATGGGCTCTACATCAGTTTAATAAATGTAAAAGGCAGGAGGAGGGAAGTTATCATCATTCCTGAATTAAATTTTAACTCAGGGTGGTTGAGCTTTGCGGAAAAGGTTGGAAGATTCATTAATAGTCGTAGAAAGTTAATGAATGGGGGCAATCACAGGCTGGTGAGCAGAGACATTCCATATGCTACAGTGCTAAGGAGCATTAAATGGGCTAATAAAGATTCAAAACTTGCTGAAAAAGAGAAGGCAGCTCTAAAAGGGGATACAATCTTTATCAACAATGATCCAGAGGAGTACAGTGAAGTTCTAAAGAGAAGTTTGGTGGGTGCATTTGAACCTAGAGCCGGAGAGATAGTGACCCTGTCAGAAATCAGGGGATGGGCTAATCGACTGTGGAAACAAACACACAACTTGAACATCTACGAAATGGGCAATGACTTCTTTCTATTTGAGTTTGCACTTAGGGTCACAGCAGAGCAAGTGATTGAAGGGGATTGGGAGTGGAGGAATAGTCCAGTTATCCTCCAATGGTGGAATCCAACAATAGGTACGAGATGCGGAAGGAGTAAAGAAAATTCAACTTGGGTAAAAATTGTAGGTTTGCCTTTGCATTTTTGGGATCAGAAAATTTTCAAGGTCATCGGAGATTTCTGCGGGGGGTGGGTAGAGACGGAAGAGGAAACCCAATTGAGGAATCATCTCAAATGGGCAAGAATCAGAATCAAAGGAGATGGAGCAGACATACCCAAAGAAGTGACCATCGATGGGGGCGGAATATGCTACACGATGCAAATTTGGGCAGAATCGCCGGTAAGAGTATTTGCCGGAGAAGACCTGAACTCCGAGATCAATACCCAGCAGTCACGAGGTGGAAAACCACTGGGTAAAGGTGAGGCTCCTCTGCAAAGTCAAAAAGTAACTGCTACAGCTGGCAGAGCATGTGTTGTGGCAGAGGCATGTGGGCAGTCCTCCAAGTCAAACGAAATAGTGGGCCGGGGCGAGCCCAACTCAAAACAAAGCCCAATTCTAAGATTGGGGCCAGAACAAAATAAAGAGGGGGGCCTGGTCAATAAAAAGTTTGACCTGGCAAGTGAAAAACAGGGGGAATTTCTAGAAGGGTTAAGTGGCATCAAAGAATTAGCGATGCAATTCTTACAGGCTTACAACAAATGGGAAACCTCGAGTATGGTGGAAAACACCGACATCTCAGCTAAAAACAGAGAGCCGATAAACAAGACGAAAGAGGCTGTTGAACTACTCTGCAACAAAGCAAAGGGGATTGATCATTCTAAGGATTTTGGGGAGATTTCAGGGGTACAAGAACTAGTGGAAGGAGGCATGCAAATTCAACAGATTCACGATGCGGAGCCGGTTTCTATACAAAACCTTGGGTACCATACAGACAGCGAGTTTGAAGCATCCAGTTGGATAAAGTCACATATTTTGGAGCTCAGTAAAACTTATGGAGTGGCATTCGAAGGTTTCAGGGAAGAAACACATGCATTACTAATGAAGCTCGATGAAAGGAAGAGTGTGATGGAAAAGAAAGGGGCAAACAGTGCAGTGTCAACACCTCGTCACAGAGGAATTGGCAAGAATGAGTTGAAGAACTTACAGTCAGATCTGAACGAGGAGGTCGAAGGTGCAAGGAACAGAGGGAGAGTCCTATCACTAACTTTTAAATGAAAGTAAATATTTTATCATGGAACGTCAGGGGGATTAACAAGATTTCAGCAAGGAATCTGGTTAAGAGCTCTCTTCTAAAATGGAGAGCTGATGTTTATTGCCTTCAAGAGACAAAAATCCGTAAAGATGTAGAGGGGATAGCCAAACAATTGTGGTCTAGTAGATGGATGAAATGTGGGTATGCTGAAGCTGATGGTAGTAGTGGGGGGATACTAATTATGTGGGACTCAAGAGTATGGACGGGTAGTTGTGTGGAGGAAGGCAAATACTCAATCACTTACAAATTTGAAGCTGTTCACGATGGTTTTTGTTGGTTTCTTACTGGTGTATATGCTCCACACACCAGAGCTGAGAAACTGGAGTGCTGGGAAGAAATTGCAGCAGTTAGGGAGCTATGTGGAGGCCCCTGGGTCACCTGTGGGGACTTCAACACTGTCAGAACAATGGCAGAAAGGAGAGGATGCAGAAGAATAACCAATGTAATGGCTGATTTCTCGAGTTGGATAGAGGATATGGAGTTACATGACCCTCATCTAAATGGTGGGACCTTTACCTGGTACAAAGGGGCTGGCCACGACAGTGCTGCGAGACTGGACAGGTTTCTCTATTCAATTGAGTGGGAAGTACAATTCAGAAACATAAGGCAACAAATTATGCCTAGAGTTATATCTGATCACAATCCAGTTATATGCTACAATGTGGTGATTGGGAACAGAGGAAGGCATACTTCAAATTTGAGAACTGGTGGCTTAATGTAGAAGGTTTCAAAGATCTAGTCCAGAACTGGTGGAATGGTTTTGTTGTGGACGGATGCCCAGATTTCAAATTCAGTATGAAGCTAAAGATGCTAAAATAGAAACTTAAAGATTGGAGCAGTGTAACTTTCGGGGAACTTAACAACAAGAAGAACAACTTGTTAAGTGAGCTAGCTGAGATGGATCTGATCCAGAATGATAGGGTGCTGACAGAGGATGAGATGATGATTAGAGCAACAGTTCTAGTCGAGTTAGAAGAATTAGCGAAGAATGAAGAATCCAGGTGGAGACAAAAGTCCAGAGTGTTGTGGCTGAAACAAGGTGATAATAATACCAAGTTCTTTCAAAGAGTAGCAACAGCTCATAGGAGGTGCAACACCATCGACAGGCTGATTATCAATGGGGAGGAGAATAAAGATCCAAAAGAAATCAAAGATCATATAACAGAGTTCTACAAGCAGCTATACACTGTATCAAAAAGTTGGAGGCCATCATTTGTGATGACAAATTGCCCAAGAATAAGCCAAGAGGAGCAGGAATGGATGCAGAGACCATTTTCAGAAGAGGAAGTGGCACACATTCTCAAATTGTGCGATGGAGACAAAGCCCCTGGTCCAGATGGTTTTACTATGCTTTTTTTCAAGGAGTGTTGGGGGATCATAAAGAGTGATGCGATGCAAACAATCCACAATTTCCATCAGAATGAAGTGTTTGAAAGATCCTTGAATGCCACTTTTGTGGTATTAATCCCCAAGAAGCTCGGAGCTGCGGAACTCAAGGATTTTAGGCCAATAAGTTTGATTGGTGGAATGTACAAAATCATCGCTAAGCTGATCACCGAGAGAATGAAAACAGTGATGGGGAGACTGATTGATGAGCACCAAATGGCTTTTTTGAAGGACAGACAAATAATGGATGCCTCTTTGTTGGCAAATGAGCTGGTGGACTCCAGGGAAAAACAAAAGATACCAGGTATCCTATGCAAATTGGATATAGAGAAGGCATATGATCATGTCAACTGGAACTACCTCTGGAAAGTTCTGAGTGAAATGGGGTTTGGGAGGAAATGGGTGAATTGGATCAAGTTTTGCGTGTCAACAGTGAAGTTCTCAATCATTATAAATGGGAGTCCTGAAGGTTTTTTTCAATCACAAAGGGGATTGAGACAAGGAGATCCCATGTCTCCTTTCTTATTTCTCCTAGCAATGGAGGGACTCAACTACATGGTCAGAAAGGCAAATGAAATGGGGTGGATAAGAGGTTTTGGTGCACACACAAACAGAGCCAATAATATGGAGGTCACACACCTTCTCTATGCGGACGACTCTTTAGTGTTTTGTGGTGCAGAAGTGTCGCAAATTAGACATTTAAGGGCAATACTAACCATTTTTGAAGGCATATCAGGACTACATGTAAACTGGCAGAAGAGTTGTTTGTTCCCGGTTAATCAAGTAAATGACATGCAAGGCCTTGCCGACAACCTGGGCTGCCAAGTAGCTTCTCTTCCCACCAAATACCTGGGGATGCCCCTGGGCGCCAAGAACAAAAAATTGGAAGTATGGAGTGAAGTTCTGGAGAGAAGTGAAAGAAAGCTGACAAGGTGGAAGAGTCAATATATATCCCTGGGAGGTAGATTGACTCTCATAAAATCAGTTCTGGATGCACTTCCGACTTATATGCTAAGTCTTTTCCCACTACCAAAAAGTATTGGAAAGAAACTCAACAAGCTGAGAAGGGTCTTCCTCTGGCAAGGAAATAAAGAGAAGCAATGATACAACCTGGTTAAATGGGAAGAGGTGACAATGAGCAAAGCACAAGGAGGTCTGGGCATTAAGAAATTGAGTACTCAGAACACTAGCCTGCTGCAAAAATGGTTGTGGAGATTCTGTTGTGAAGATATGGCATTATGGAGGAGGTTTATTGCAGAGAAATATGACCTACAAAGCAACTGGATAACTGAAGAGGTGAATGGCACCTTTGGGTGCTCTGTATGGAAAACCATCAGGAGGATGTGGCCTGATTTCAGTGCAAAGGTGACCTTCAGAGTGGGGAATGGTTTGAAGACCAGTTTCTGGAATGAGACCTGGTTAGGTGACGTAAATCTGAGGATACTTTTTCCCGATCTGTACATTATCAGTCTACAGCAGAATGACACTATAGCGCAAATGTGGACCCCTCAAGGTTGGGACCTTATGTTCAGAAGGGCTCTAAATGATTGGGAGGTTGGAAGAGTAGCAGACCTACTGCATGCTTTAAACTTGTTTCCAGGCACTGTTACAGAGCCGGACAAACCAGTTTGGAGACTGCATAGCAGAGGGGTTTTTACAGTTAAATCATGCTATTGGGAGAGGAATACCAATCATCTCCTGACAACAGTTTGGCCTTGGAAATTAATTTGGAAAATTAAGGTTCCTTTAAAAGTTGCATGTTTCACTTGGTTGGTAATTAGAAGAGCTTGTCTCACCCATGAAGTGCTACAAAGAAGAGGTATACAGATCTGTTCAAAGTGCTACATGTGCGGACAGAAGGCTGAAGTAAATGGTCATTTGTTTCTGCATTGCAAGATAGCTACAGATTTGTGGAACATGTTCGTTTGTATACTCAGGGTTAACTGGACAATGCCCAGAACCACTTTTGAGGTCCTAACACACTGGCAAGGAATCGGAAAGAGAGGATCAAAAGAAGACTGGTGGAAAAATATCCCTGCTTGCATATGGTGGACACTATGGAAGGAAAGGAATGGGAGATGTTTTGAAGGAAAGGTTAGCAGCCCAGAGGAGATCAAGATGAAATGCCTTAGTCTTTTGTATTTTTGGTGTAAGCAAAATTTAGTGGGGGAAGTAGATAGCCTTGTGGAGTTTAAAAGCCAATTGTAAAGTTAGTTTTGTCTTTTTGGATTTGAGTATGATGGCACCCCTTGGGGGTTTGTAAATCCCACCTCATCGATTTTGATGAGGTCTTTTGTGTGAATACAAAGTTACCTATTTCAAAAAAAAGAAAAATACTTAGCACCATGGAGTTCATCCAATAACTCTTCAATCACTGGAATAGGAAATTTATCTTTCACAGTATGACTATTCAGTTCTCTATAGTCTACACACATTCTCCAAGTACCATCTTTTTTCTTCACCATGACAATAGGTGAGGAGTAGGGATTGGTACTATGCCTAATTACCCCCGAATGAAGCATGTCCTCCACCATCCTCTCAATTTCATCCTTTTGTGCTGTAGGATATCTGTATGGTCTAATGTTTATAGGAGACGTCCCATCTTGCAATATAATCTTGTGATCATGGAATCTAGATGGTGGTAGGTCTTTGGGAACCTCGAACAAATCACTATATTCCTGTAAGATGCACTCCAGATCATTAACCCCTTCTACATCACTGTCTGGAACTGCCTCAATTGATAACAGGCTGCCACTTTTCTCCTCTTTATAAACCCCAAACGAAATCATACAAAGCTCAGCTGGTTTTGCTAGCAACTTGTCCATGTTGTCCTGATGAACCATCTTTACTGCAGCAGGTTGTATTCCTCTTAAGGAAATTTTGCGCCCCATAATAGTGAACTCCATTTTTAACCTCCTGAAATTCCACATAATGTCTCCTAATGTTATCAACCACTGAATTCCCAAAACCATGTTGCATCCACCAATAGGCAAAACTAACATGTCAGAATCAAATGAAACCCCTTGCATTTTCCAAGCCAGCTTCTTGCACACATAATTGCTCTGGATTTTCTTGCCATCAGCAACTGATACAGCAAAAGGTGAGATAGCTATCATCACACACCCCAACTTCTTTGCTGTATTCAAGTCAAGGAAATTGTGTGTGCTGCACGTATCAATCAACACATGTACTACCTTGCCCTTCACCGACATAGTAACTCGCATGGTTCTAAAATCATGGGATCCATTCATAGCATGTACAGATACATGAGTTAAAATGGCCCCTTCATTATCAGTCTCTAGGCCTTGACCAATCATGGTAAAAAATTCAGTTGGGTCTACCATTATGTCATCTTCCATTTCTTTGGGTTCTCCTTCTCCTTCTTCTACTTCCATGTAGAATAGTTGCCTCTTTTTCTTACAAACATGACCATAACTGTATTTTTCATCACAGTTAAAACACAGACCCTTACTCCTTCTTTCCTCCATTTCAGCTGGTGACAACAATTTGGCATGTTTAAGTTGAGGTTTTGGATTGTTGGCCAAGGTGGGGTTTTGAAATTTAGAAGTAATTGGGTTATGCTTCGTTGGTTGGTTGGATACATAGGAAAAAGAAGAGTTATTAGCAACAAATCTGTGTATATTTTTGGGATTGGAAAGTACTGATGGTTCAGAAAACACTTGCTTTTGGACAACTAGTGTTTGTTCCTGTATTCTAGCTAGATTAATTGCTTTAGCTAGTGACCTTGGTGCGAGCATCTTAACAGGTAAACCTATTTCTGGTTTCAATCCTCTAACAAAGCAACTAATAATCTGGTCTTCTGATAATTCAACCCTAGTGAGCAGTTCATCAAAAAGATCGACATAGTCTTGAACAGAGTTTACCTGTCTCAAATCCTTGAAATCACCCATTGGATCGTCAAATAGTTCAGCTCCAAACCTGGCAAAGAGACTTCCGACATACTCAGTCCATCGTGGCCATTCTCTGGAAATTCGGTGCTTCATATAAGATTGGTGCCATTGGAGTGCTTTACCCTCGAAATTGCAAGATGCCAACTTAACCCTTGAGTCATCTGGAGTTTCGTCTACATCGAAGAACTGTTCACATCTGTAAATCCATTCCCTCAACCCCTGTCCATCAAATTTAGTGAAATCCATCTGATAGTTACGAGTTGGCAAGTGATAATTTTCTGATCTATTTCCATCTCTAGGAACTCCTTCAGCTGCTGGTCTGGTACTTCCATTGTTGTTCATAGACGTCGCGAACAACCTTCGAAATTTATCCATGGCTTGAGCCACACTAGCATCCACTGATTGTCGAATCTCTGCAACAGAGCTGGTTACACCTTTCATGGAGTGTTTGAGACTGTCAACTTCCTTGCGTAGCTCCTGCATCCGAGCATTGTGATCTCCCATTGTTACAGATCAGAGAATCACTTGCTCTGATACTAATGATGCGTACCGATAAATTGGGAAAGAAATTGAACTAAGCCTAAAGAGCAATTGCTCTTGAACAACTGGTCCTGTAGAACAGAGGAATTGAGAAGAGAAAGAGAGAGAACTGTTATTGATCTTTTACAATTGGATACCTTTACAATTGGGGTTGATCTCTTATTTATACATGTGAATTAAAAGCAAGCTCCCATAGTTAGTTATAACTAACTGGGCTACAGTGTTAACCGACTAACAACTAGCACGTGCGACTCACATGACCATTAACTGAACTAACGACTTATTTATTTATTGGCACATATCATAGGACTTCCATGTTGGAGGTCTCAAGTTCGAAATCCCTTATCAGCAAAAGCAAAGGGTTTGCCTTCTGAATCGAGCTCGTTTCACCAGGCTTGCGTAGTGCGGATTACTGAATATTATTAGGTTAGAGATCTAAGCAAAATGGTTGGGTTGAAACTATAATTTTTTGCTTTTTCTATTATATATCTGTAACAACACATAAAATATGAATATATTAAGTTAACACTATTAGATGGTTCATAGAAGTTCAAAATTTTGATGTGGAAAGTCCTTTTTTTCACAAAGCTTTAGAGATTAAGGCCTCTAATTTCTTAAAATAAAACATTGATTTGTTTAGTTATCTCTAATATCAAAATATCTAAAAGAAAATATTACTAACATGCATGTTTGATCAATTTATTTATTTAAATCGATAAAGATAAATAGCCCGAATTGTAATCTAAAATTGAAGGAACCGACTCGTTTATCTTACTTGGACGATGTGGCACCACGACATCCAAATTCTAGATCCGCCTCTAGATAAGAGGTTTGTGGTTTCGAGGGTTCTCTGTTTGGTTTGGAAATCGGGTAATTAAGCGTCCTGTTTCGGCCTATTTTTTAAACAAAATATATTCAGTGATAGTGGTGAGGATAATGGCTGGTGTTAGTGATTAGTAATGGTGGTGGTGATAGTGTGATGGTGAAGATGGTTGATATTGTATTGATCGACGCGATGATGATTATAGCTGATAACGGTGTTTATGATTGTGATGATGAAGTTAGTTGATATTAGTAACTGATGGTAATAATTGATGATATGTCGGTGTTAATTAACGACATGTTGGTGCTAATTGACGATGATGCTAGCTGTAACGGTGGAGATGGTTGGTAGTAGTGATTGAAGGTAGTGGTGATAGTGACTGATAGTAGCGATTAAGGTGACAATGATAGTAATAGTGGATATAATTATAATAATTGAGTTGAAAGGTTTGATAGCAACTGACAGTAATGACAACATGATTTGCGAGGGAAAATCCGCATAAAGACTCCAATCCATCCTATCCCGCATAACAAATATTTCTATTTTCAACTTGCTTCATCCCACATAGATCCACCCCACGTAAATTCACCCTACCTAATTTTAAATTTTTTAAAGTTTGATATTAAAATATAGTTCATTAGATTCTTTTTAATTTTTTCTGCCAGGTACTGTTAATTTAGTATTAATCTTATACGAATAAGTTTTTCATCTTTTCATTTTGTTATCAAAGTCTACAATTTGTCTTGTTAAAATAATATTTAGAGTATGTTACTATGGTGTTTAGTTTTTTAAAAAAACTTATACGAATAAGTTTTTCATCTTTTCATTTTGTTATCAAAGTCTACAATTTGTCTTGTTAAAATAATATTTAGAGTATGTTACTATGGCCTGTTTAGTTTTTAAAAAAATTAAAGTTTTATACTAAAAATAAAGTTCATAAAATTCTTTTCATTTTTTCAGTAAGCACTATTAATTTAGTAGTAATTTGATATTAAGTTAATTTTTCTCCTTTTCATTTTGTTATTAAGGCCCATAAATTATTTTGTTAAATTAATAGAACTTTTTAATAAATAATATTGTTTTTAATGTTTTTTTTTTACTATTACTATGTATAGTAATACTATGTATTATTATTAAATTACTAAATCAGTTTTTCCCCCGCAACAGTCTTTTCAAATTAATAAGAATGATAAGATTGGTAACTTTAATGCTTTTTCAAAATTATTTGAAAATGACGCTGCTTTAGTGACTGCTCAGCATATTAATGTCATGATTAAGCAGAATAATTATGCTAATATTTATATGAGTATTTTGGGTGATCATATTGTCTCTTTACATGACAAAGTTGATAAGATTATTTCCCTTTTACCTACTAAGTCAAAAGGAAAAGAGAAAATTGCTCATAGCAGTTTGCAACCTCCACCAGAAATTGAAAACTTCAAGTTTAAAGATTATTCAGATTTTGAACATTTCTTAGATAAGAAATTTAAAGGTGGTGGAGTTCAGCCTCTAAATGCTGAAAACTTTGATTAAGGAGAACCTAGCAATAAAAAGAATTTTTATGATAGTCTTAATAAGATATCTGAAAAATATGCCAGGAAACCAGTTCAAAGGGTGTACTATTATCCTAGACCTACTCCACAAGATGTTCTACTTGAAGAACATGAGCATATTATAACTAATAGTTATAATGGAAAAGAAATCTATGAATGGAACATAGATGGTTATATAGATAGACAAATTTATACAACGGTACATAAAATGCTTATGTACAGTACTATCTGTAAAACCAACAAGAATAGTGATAAGACTATTGTTGATATGATAACAGCAGGTTTTACTGGCCAATTGAAAGGATGGTGGGATAATTATCTCAGCCAAGAACAAAGGGATAAAGTTCTTTTGGCAATAAAACAAGAAGGAGAACAATTTACTCAGAACGCAGTTTATACACTAGTTCTGAATATTATTGAACATTTCTCAGGGAGATGGTCAGATAATAGCGAGACCATTAGAACCCTTCTCCAAAACCTAAGGTGTAAAACCCTTACATCATTCAGGTATTATAAGGATGTGTTCCTTTGTAGAGTAATGGAATTACCAGAGTGTAATAACACTCATTGGAAATCCAAATTTATAGATGGATTGCCGACTTTATTTGCAGAAAGAGTTAGGAAGGCCATTAGAGGAGATAATCATAGCATTAATTATGGTGATTATACTTATGGAAAACTTATAAGTGCTTGTGTACAGGAAGGTCTATCCCTATGTAATGAAAGCAAGTTGAATCAACAGATTAAACGACATCGCTTAAATGAAAGGAAACAATTAGGAGAATTCTGCGAACAATTCGCATTTGATATTCCTAAACAAAAAATAAAAGACAATGATTCTCCTCATAAAAAGAAGAAATCTTCAAAAAAGATTATGAAAAATGGAAGAAGAAGAGAATCAACAAGAAGCTAAGAAGAGCTGAGGAGGGTAAATGAGACTCTTCTAAAAGAAAGAAAAAGTATCACCAGAATTATAATAAATCAGATACTTGTCACAAATGTGGAAGATTTGGTCATTACGCCAAGGATTGCAGAGTCAAGGAAAAAATTAAAAACCTTGACATAGAAGATAATCTTAAAGACTCTCTTTATAAGATTATGCTTAATTCTGACTCAGGGACATAATATAGCAGTAGTGAAGAAACTTCAACAAGTGAAGATCTTAAGGCTCTTCAACAAGAAGATTATTTAACTTCTGCAGATGAATGCTCACCGTGCCAACAAGGAATGGCATGTGAATAAGATGATAAAGAGGAAGACGATCTTTATAAGATCTATGATCAATTTAAAGAAATGAGTCTCAATGTCATTGATAATGACAAAATAATAGAACTCTTACAAAATATCAAGGATCCTGAAATTAGAGCTCAAATCATTGATAAGATCAGTGATTCAAAAGAAAAGGAACATATTTTGGAGAAGGATCATATTCCTAAAGAAATTGCAACCAAAGAAGGTTCATATACTATGGCAGAGGTAAAAAACCTCCTACTGGAAAGAAGGAAGATGATAAGTTCTCCTACTACAATTAGTGATTTGAAAGAAGAGATTAATAATCTCAAAGAAGACATTATACGTCTTAAAGAAAAGATTGTTGTTATAGAGGTAAGGCTAGATGCGATTCAGACACTCCAAGATTTGAATAATGCTTCTGAATCATCTTTTTCTTTAGAAGGAGAAAACAACAGTCTTGATTTTATGAAAAACCTTTATTTAAAAAATGATAAAACATATTTTTTATATAGTCTTAAAGCTTTTACTTCTCAAAAGTTTTATACTAAAATCACTCTTTTAATAGATTATAATTATAAAAAAGAATTTATTGCTCTTATTGATAGTGCAGCTGATTTAAATTGTATTCAAGAAGGTCTTATACCTTCAAGATATTTTCATAAAACGACTCATAGTCTTCGCTCTGCTAATGGAAGCAAAATGAATATTGAATTTAAATTACCTAAAGCTTTTATTTGTAAAGGGAAAAGTTGTGTCCCTCAAAGCTTTGTTTTAGTAAAAAATATCACCAACCAAATTATTTTGGGAGTACCTTTTATAAATGATATTTTCCCTCTAATCCATTGGGATAATAATAAAATTATTGGAACTTGGAATAACAAACCTTTCATATTAGAGTTTGTTACCAAGCCCTTTACTAGAATGATAAATGATTTAACTGCCAAATTATTGGTTTCAAAAAATAATCAAGTTAGTTTTATAAAACAAGAGATCAATAGCATAGAAGTTGATCAGATTTTACAAAACCCTAAATTACAAGAAAAGATTGCTATCTTATCCAACCAATTCTCTCTTGATATATGTGGAGATCACCCTAATGCTTTTTGGAACACGAAAAAGCATGTAATTAGTCTTTCTTATGAGAATGACTTTGATGAGAATAATATTCCCACCAAGGCTAGGCCTTGCCAGATGAACTCTGAATATTTAGAGTTATGCAGAAAAGAAATTAGCTTACTACTTCAGAAAGGGCTTATAAGACAATCCAAGTCACCTTGGTCTTGTACAACTTTCTATGTTAATAAACATGCAGAGCAAGAAAGGGGAGCTCCTCGCCTGGTAATCAATTATAAACC